GGACGAAACATAAAACATAGTCAAGAAATACCCTAAACCACCCAAAAATGGTCAAGAAATGATCCCCATATTATTTTTTACTATGTTTGAATATTCCTGCTGTACAGGGACAGGCCCGACTTAAGTCTAAGAGCCAAGAACTTGATGGCCGAGGATAACTCGCCGGCCCAACGGGCCAGAGGCGTGCTAAGATCTCCGGTAACTACTGAGCAATATTTCTAGTTCGCGCGCGCGGGGCGGCCCCTGGGGGGCCCCGGACGAAAAGTACCCCGGCCGATCCCCGGCTGACCCCCAGGCGATCCCCAGGGGGGAAGCTATTTTTCGCCACCCCTCACGAGGATCGTGGCCTCCGAGGGGGGGGCTGCAATCGACTCCCCCCCTCTCCCGCCCCGAGGGGCCCCCCAGAGCCCCCCAAGGGGGCCCAATGCGCCGCCAAGGAGCCCCAAGACGCTCCCAAGAAGCCCCCAAGAAGCCCCCAAGACGGCCCCAAGAGGCTCCAAGTAGCGCTCCAGGGCCGGCGGAATGAGCGAAGCGATTCAATAAATGCTTGAGGCGCCCAGGCTCACCCGAGCCATATCTCTCGACATCTCGCGAATCATAGCAGAACTGAAACGCCTCGGCTCCGCAGCCGATGGGAAGCATCATAGATGTCTCGCCCTCGGGAGTACTCCTCCCCCGCCAGAGATAGGACGCAGGAGAGGATCATAGATGTCTCGCCCTCAGGAAGATTCTTCCCCCGCCAGAGGTAGGACGCGGGAGAGGTCGTTCTGCTTTATCTCCTAGGCTCGGCGGTGGACAGACCTCCCTTTAGTAAACCTCCCCTTAGTGACAACGGCCTGGGACCGAAACCGACGGGCCTGGACCCGCAAAAATGACGGCCGCGACGCCCTCTCGCGAACCGAAAAACGGCCAATTCCTCAATCGACGTGTCAGGGTAGGAGGTCTGTCAACCTCCGATAGGCTAACGTTGCACCCAGATGTCCGGCGATGTGCCCTTTCGATGCCAGGCCGCAGCGGTCCCGCTGGCTTGGGGTCTTCAGCTGGGGTCGCGCGGGGTCCCTCTTGCCTGGTCTAGCCTCTGGACTGGGCCACGACTAGGGGATCGAATAATGAGAGAAACATAAAAACTCGGAGGTCCGCGCGCATTCCTCGGATCCGCGCTGGACTCCCCTGGCGGCGCCTCCGGCGCCGCCCCTGGCGCGCTCCGCGCGCCAGGGAAGGGGGTCTAGCGCCGATCCGAGAAATCCGCGCGGACCTCCGAGTTTCTATTTACCAGCCTCGAACGTATCCCTATCCCTAAGATTGGCACGCCAAAAGGCGATGACAATCTCAGGGACTCGCCCTCAAAAAAAAAGGGAATCCCTAAGATTGGCATCGTGATGAGGAGGTGCCCAGCATAGGGATAGGGATATGTTCCAGGCTGGTAATTTATGTGAACGTCACTGTTCGCTCCCCTGCCGATGCTGCGGACAGGGGCCGCAGAGAGCACCCAGCGAGACCCCTCCGGAGACCCCGGAGGCAGCTGCTGGCCCCGGATCCACGCCTCACGGCCCCGCGGGGCCCGGCAGTGGACATCCGGGGCCAACTGAAGGGGCCCCAGGACACACAAATAAACACACACAAATAAAAAGATACCCCATATTTTCATATATGTTTGGGGTTTTTGACTTCCCCCCACTTCCCATATGTTTGCATATTTTCCTGAGAATCGGCGAGTAATTGTGTCTGTGTGTTTTTGTCCCCTCCTGACCAACCCCTTCCCAGCCTGGAGCATATCCCTATATCCCTATGCTGGGCATCTCCCTGACCTTCCAGGAGGGCCAAAAGATAGCACCAGGACGTCGACGTCCTAACTCCTGCCGAGGTTTGAAGCAGTTCAGATAGATATATAGGTCTGGCTATGTTTTAGCACTCTGGGAGGTCAGGGCTCCTCATCACGATGCCAATCTCAGGGATCCCCTTTTTTGGGGGGGGGGGGGGCGCATCCCTGAGATTGTCATCGCCTTTTGGCGTGCCAATCCTGGGGATGGGGATAAGCTCGAGGCTGGAAAAACGCCGAGGAACGACGCCGAGACCTGGGCCAAGGAGCGACACCGCGGGTGTGGCTGACGCTCCCCGAGCCTCCGCGGCCGGTGCCCCAGACACTTTCCGAGGACGTGGTGTCTTCCATCCGCTTTGGACGCCCGAAATGGGTACGGAAAGAATGGGCACAATGCCCAACAGCAAGTGCTGTCCTGAAACATCAGCCGCCGCTGTTGTGCAGGCGGCCTTCTGTCTCAAATGAACACAGGCCGCGGCGGCGTGGACAGCGAATCCTGTTCAAAATGAACAGGAACTGCTGTCGGGCATTGTACCCATTCTTTCTGTGCCCATGTCGGGCGTCCACATCCGCGGCCCCAGAAAGAAGCCCCGGCCCCTCCCCAGCGGGGGGTGCTGCGTCCCTGGAGCTTTTTTTGTTTGACGAAGAAATGCCTCCTCGAAGCGTCTCGTGGCAGCGCGACGCAGCCCCCCTGTGTCAGCACCCGCGAGACGTGGCCCCAAGAGCGGGGACGAACGAGAGGTTCGGCTCTCTGC